GACTATCTCAGGGGACCAGGAGACACTCCTCCTTCCCAGGGGAGCCCTCGACTGGTGTCAGCCTCCCTGATCCCCTGTGCCCTTCATGTGCCTGCCTTCACCAACTCCACCCATTTCATTTCTTTCCTCCCCACTGGACCCTCCCTCCAGGCTACACATGGCATCTGACCAGGAAGAAAAGGGGACACTGGCCTGTCCTGATCTCTTCTTTCTGACTTGGGTACATTGCTCTTCTCTAGGAAGCCCACACTCTGAGTATCGGCTAAGATTCTGCTCCAAAGGCCTCGACTGCAAGCTTCCTGGGGCTCCACTGAGCCCTGCCCTGCTTAGATGCTTGGGCATAAAGCCTGGCTCCTAACAGGGGCTTAAGTCTTCTTCCTAATTAGCCCAATTACTTTTACAAACTCAGCCAACTAGTCAACCTGCCTCAGCCCATCCTCACAAGCCCATCATTCAGATCACTGCCTTGCCTACAGGACAGGTGGTTTTATCTCTCAAACAGCTCAAACTTAAAGCATTTGGTTTTTTTAAAAATCACCTGCATTTCTTCCAAGTCCTTAGAAGTATTGACTCATCCCAGGCAGAATAATTAACTTTTCAGTCATCACATTGGTTATAATTACAACACTCATGTATCTAATACACTTTCTGTCATTAGAGGAAAAAAAGATTGGCTTTTCTTAGTATACTAACATTTCACTAAATTGCAATGTAGTAGGGAATGATCATTTCTACTGATAAAAGACGTAAATTACTCAATGTCATTAAGTCATTTTGCTACTTTCACAAAGCATGAATAATCCAAAAAATTCATCAGAACCAGAACTATAGACTTTGTCATCAACTTGGATGTGAACTGGTGGCAGGACATGGTGGTGACACCTCAGGACCTCATGGCATCGTCCTTCCCACAGGTCTGAGGGCAGTTCCTGCCCATCTCACATCCCTGGGACCTTTTCTGACTCTTAGAGCTCCATTAACAAACTGGATTCTCCCCCAATAAGACTGGATTCTCCCAGACACAAAGCTCCCTGCCCACAGGCCCACAACTTGCTTATATGGTATCCCTAATGCACAAAATGACCCTCACATGACTGAATAGATAAACACTACAGAGGATGTCAGGAACAAATGATCTCATGGGTGTTCATTTTAAAATTCCAACTGTCGCTGCATGTGGCTATTAGCTGTTTGAGAGGTGGTAACCCTAGCTATGTGGGAGGCAGAGGTAAGAGGATCTCAGTGCCAGCCCGGTCCCAGGCTAAAGCTCAAAACCCTACCTGAAAAAAACGAACTAAAGCAAAAAGGACTGGGGTGTGGCTCAAGTGGTAAAGGCCCTGGGTTCAAACCCCAGTACTGCAAACAAAACAAAACAAAGCAGAAAACTATGTAAGTCCTATAAATGACAAGTATTAACAGTGTTCTTAAATACATTATTATAACTCCAACTATTTGTAAAGAGCTTCTGTTTACCAATAACCATAGAAGAGCCATTGTAGACACTTATCAAACTTCACGGGATCACCAACCTCTTTCCTCTCCATGTCAAAAATGGTAACAACCAAAATGCAGCAGACTTTGAGGATGCAGTCAGTTCTGCACACTTAATTAGAAAAAAACAGACTCCGACTCCAGCTCTGCACTGCTTGTTTGATTTGAATCCCACATCTGCCTGTGACGTGCAGAATTCGGGAAGTAGGAATCGGCATTTGTGGAAAGGCACAGGGTGTAAACTGCGTAAGACATCTGGAACCGTCTAGTGGGTTTTATACAGAGACACTGGATGAATCTGTCTTCTGAAGTGCCCGGTAACCAGGCAGGAAGCACTCCCACCCTGGGATCCACACAGAGTGGTCTCACCTGTCTATATTTGAGAGAAGGATCTGCAGCTAAAGTTAAATAAACCAAAAGAGGTACAGAGGGAAAAACTCACAGGTACTGCACACTTACCGTATGCCAGGAAATTTTCAAACTTCATAATATAATCACATCTAACCCTAGCCACATCTTTATGAGATAGAGAACAGGCATCCCATTGTAGAGGTCAAAAAACTGGGATTCAGAGAAGGGAAATCTCATAAGCAGCATAGCCAAGAGCCATGACACAAAGCCAGCCATCCATCTCTAGAAGTCTCCATCACTTCTCAACCTCTCTTTACATGTCCCCTCTTCTCCCTTATATTTTAAGCCTGCTCTCAGTCACTGATCAATTAACTCATTACCATGTAGTGTGAATGAACCTTTGTCAATTTACTTCCTAACAATATTCATTCATTAGAGTCATTTATCAGGCATCCAATAAATGTCTGTACTGGACACCTTCCCGGGGACACACAGATCATCAAGTCACTGTCTCTATCATCAGGTGTCTCAGTTACTACTGGGGAGAAACACAGCAACCTTTAAATGGGGACACTAAAATGGTACCACTCTTTCTGTATCGGGAACAGTGTAGGAACAGGAATTGGGGTGGTGAGAGAAAGGGAGACAGCTACTGTCTACTTTATTTCTGGTATTTATGGTATCTTTGTTGACATATTTTCCCATCACACTGGAACAGATCCTGTTGACTCCAGCATGACTCATGTCTGGAGAGAAGAGGGCTCAGATACCAAAATATATCATCATTCCACTTCCTGTTCTGTCCTCAGTGGAGGCAGTACTGCTCCATGAGGTAAGACACTGAAACTCATCAGATTTCTTCTTTTCATTATCCCTGAAGAGTAATTTGACTTAAAATACACTTAGACATTAAAAAAAAAATCTGACTCTTAAAGGAAATTCTATCCCTTGCTTTCCCTCTTCGACGCTCCAGTCCTCGCTAAACCAAGGAAATATATTCACCTACTGTGATTTCTTGCATACACCAAATTCTCTAGAATGTCTAGTACAAATGGAATGAGAGCATTATATCTACCTCACTCTTATTTTCTAATCCAATAATAACCCGACTACTGGATTTCTAATGACAGTGGCCAGACAGGTTAATACCCAATACCCAAGCACGACAGTCTCAATTCCTACTCTCATTTCTTATTGATAATCTCAAATTAGTCTTTCTTTCCAAGTTTTCCTTTTCCTTGAGCAACCCAACTGCCATTACCACCCCCATTCTTGCCTTTCAGAATCTAAACAGTAAAAACAATTGTCAAGGTAATTTGCCACCAAAGAGAACACAGTGCATACCACTGAGCAAAAAGCAGCCTAAGTGAACACATGCATTCCTGCCACTAAATAACAAAGCAAATAAAATGTAACCTACAAGATAGAACAAATACATAACCCAATGTTGTCAAAAATGCACAAATTATCCCAACTCTGGAAATTTATTTGAAGGAAATAATTCAAATGAAGGAAAAAGTCTGAAAAGTTTTCTTGAGATATGATACATGGTAGCAGAAATTGGGACAGTGATTGAGGCGTGGCTGAGAAATTACAGGCCATTAAAAATGATCATTATGAAGCCTGAGTCACTGCATGAAAAATGTTACTGATACATTAAGTTAAAAATAATGTAACTTGGATATGGAATTTGATTGCAAGACGTAAAAAAAAAACCTGTTTGCATAAAGACAGTGGAATCATGGGTAATGCTTATATGCTACTAGATGTTTCAACATTGTCTTTATAATAAAAAGAAATGCAGAGGAAAACAGGTGGCGAGTCACTGCCTGATAACTGTCACTGTGTAAGAACGTCCCCTGTGCTGGGACAACAGCAGGTGGTTAATGTGAGCACAGATGCCAGGCTCAGCTCTCTTAGCCCAGTTTACTTACTAAGGTTGACCTTTCCAGAAATTAAAACTAATCTCATCAGCAAGCTATCGTCTGGTTTACATGATTGCCAACAGGTATTTAGTAAACCTTGAAGGATGCCAAGAAACAGAATTGAAGAATGGAGAAGCGTGTGTGAGGGGATGAACTCTTAGCTGAGGAGGTCCACGCTGTTTCCTAAAGTTGAAGTGGGGGATGTTTGTGTCCTTGGCTTCTCAGTGGGGGCAGATGAAGAACTTCTCATTTAAATTCAGAAAGCACCAAGGTCCACCTGAGACTGGGGAGGCCAGCCCTGCCCCCATCTCTCCATGCCATAACCCACAGGGCTGGAGCAACACTAACTTTTTAACCATGTGTAAGTATGAAGCTCTGTGGCAGTATGCACGTTCACAATGAATTGCAACCATCACCACCGTCCACCTCCAGAATTTTCCGTCATCCCAAACTTTAGCTCTGTACTAATAAACATTGGCTTTCTATCCCCTCCCCAACCCTCCAGCTCTTGGCCATCACATTCTACTTTCTGTATCTATGAGTCTTACTGCATAAGTCTTCATGTAAGTGAAATCATGTATTTGTCCCTTTTGTGAGAAGTCTATTGCATTTAGCACATTGTCCCCATGTGTAACATGGGTCAGAATATCTTTCCTCTTTGGGCTGACTAATGGTCCACGATGGGCATACACCAAGAGATGGAGGGTTTTCAGGGGCTGCAGCCATCTCTCTTGGGATCCCCATCAGGTCATACATATTACTGATCCAGGGCCCTGACCCCAAGCTCAAGTCTGAGAAATGACCTTCCATCTCATTCCCAGGCCTCACACTGGGTCGACCATTCTTGTACTACTTCTCTAGTGGTCCTTCATTTGGGAACCTAGACTTCCAGTCAGTCTTACCAGAATCTGGATGGCTCCTGCTCTCTACCTCAGGACTGTGTGCTCAGTGCTTGTTCAGTGCTCCTATGTCAGGCTGAGTTTAGTCTATCTTGCCACCAGCCAAGATGGCAGCCAACTCCTGTAGGGCTTTGTTTTGACTACACCATTGCCTACTCCATCCCACCTTCCAGATGGCCCCTGCTCTCTGTTCCTGCACAGGGGAGGAGCACTGCCAGCCCATCCACATTCCAGTTTTCTTTCCTCGCCAGATAACTCTCTGTAACTTCATCGTGTCTATCCAAACCCTCAAATGTTATCCTGAAGACACAAGCATAAGTCCAGACCTACTTACAGCCAGAGTGAGTTCCTTCCTTGAGTGATGACCCCTGTGAACCTGGTCAGGCGCCGGGCATCCACTTCAATCCACTGATGGAGGTCGTTCCTGCCAGCACACCACGCCCCATCATAAAAGTCATTTTCATTAATGCCTGCCTGGAAAGAAAAGAGGAGTGATCTTCAGAAAGACCCTGAACTGAAGACAATTAAGACAAATCTTTTCCTGAGACTGAGAGGAAGGAATAGGAGACAGGAGAAGAAAATGAGGAAGGATATAAAGAAGACCACCATTGTGGACTGAACTCCTTTCCCTAAGTCACAAAGAGAAGTTGCTTAGTTTTAATTAGTTGGAAGTACTGCTGTATTCCAAAAGGACATGTCCTTTTTTTGCCCAATGTGAAAAATGAAATTTAATGAGTTCTCCTATTACTCATTCATCCAACACACAAAATGATCTCCTACGTACAAGCCCACATATGCCAGGTGCAGGGGAATCAAAGGTGAGCCATTCTCACCCAGAACCTTACCATCCAGGCAGCAAGGAACACATGAAAACAGATGAATTTGAGCACAATGGGGGAGGTGCTATGCCAGGAACTGAGCAAAGCACTGTGGGAGCATTTAATGATCAATAGCACAACTCACAGGGACCACAGAGAAGCCCCAAACCAGAGTGGTATTTAAGCTGCACATGGAAACATTAACCTAGTAAATACTTGTCCATTGATGTTTAACTCATTTGATGTGCTCACTGTCTGTTACTATTACTGCCTGAAATTCTTTGGATCTGATTTCTGCTCTGAAATTATCCCTACATTATCACCATTTGAAGAGAGAATTCCTTGACCTAAAAAAGAATTAAAAAAAAATGAAAAAAAGGGCATTTGTGTCAAATGAAGCATCCCAGTTACTCAGACCCTTTCTGCACAAATCCTATTTTTCACAAGGACATAACCAGATGAGAAAAAGTCTGCATGACATAACAGGCCAGTCCATCCTCACTATCTCTGAGCACTTTTCAGCTCAAATTTCAGGTGCAGCCTGGCTTTTAATGGGCAGTAGAAATGTGAAATTCAGAATCTACTACAGTAGATGAACACCTGACCAAGGGTTCCATCAGCAGAACTCTCCCCATTACCTTGCATCAGGACCAAAACACAGTCTGGGCACCCCACTCCCCTCCTGAAGCCATCCTCAGTGAACTTAGAAGCAAATGCTAGAAAATGGAAACACCACAGTCTAAGAAAAGCTCTGTGATCTCAAATGAAGGTGAATTTAAAAAGCTATTGGTCAACAGTCCCCAGAAACCACATCAGGGTACAAGCGGCCTCAGTGATGTCTGTGATGAGGACCTGGACGTATTGTAGGTTCTGCCTTCTAGAATCATCAGAAAAGGGTTGCATTTGGCAAGTGTGTGGTACCCATGCCTCAGTGTGTTTTGTTACAGGCTAGTCCTTAAGAAGCAATGGTGACTCTGTGCAGCAGAACACCTCAGTTCCCAGCCCTGCCAGACAGCAGCAGAGGGCTGTAATTATACCACCACTTCCTTTCTGCATTTGAAGCCAATTAGTCTCTTAATAACAGAGCCTTGAGACACATTAGCAACCTACGGTATCACAACTCATCTCTTTTCAAGAAACCTAACGACACTTACTTTTTGTTGTGGTTCCCCTTTCCTTGTAAACAGCCTGGGAGCCTGGTGTTTAGAATACTCCCATTCATTCCATAAAATGAACCTTCGCTGTGCCTCTGCTATACAGCAAGTACTAAAGGTGAAAAACATGCAGCCTTCTCCTCTGGAGCTCAAAATAGGCAGACAGACCCAAGTCCACACATAGCGTCACAGTAAAATCAGCTGCTTTGCAGTGTGCTGGTGGAGTGTGGGATCTGAAATCATACCAACTGGCTGCAAGTCCCAGCTGGGTCATTTACATGCAGTGTAAACTTAAACGATTTGCCTAAATGCTATATGCCTCTGTTTCTCCATCTGTCAATGATTATTTCGCCCTCAGAATGTTGACTGTGCTTACAACAGGGCCTGGCACCAAGTGTGGGTTCAAAAAAAAAAAAATGAGTGCTCCATAAGTGTTAGCAATCAGAATATTTAAAGCAGTGGGGATTTGGTCAGCACTGGCAAAATGTGGAAATCTAGGTAAGTGGTTTATGAATTATTTCATTTTGCAAAATATCAGGGAATTCTGTTACTATTCCAGTTCATTGTAATCACATTTTCTACAACTTCAAACATCCAGAACAGGCCAGGTGCCAGTGGCTCACGCCTGTAATCTTAACTACTTGGGAGGCAAAGATCAGGAGGATCATGGTTCAAAGCCCGCCAGGCAAATAGTTCATGAGACCCTATCTTGAAAATACCCAACACAAAACAGTGGAGTGGGTCAAGTGGTAGAGCACCTGCTTAGCAAGCACGAGGCCCTGAGTTCAAACCCCAATACCCAAACCAAAAAAAAATTCCAGAACAGAATTATACAAAATCTGAAGGAAAAGGAGGCCGCCTGTTATCTAAGGTTCTTGACAGAGCCCCTGCTGCCTCTCCAGGAGATATTCAGCAATGTCTGGAGTCTTTTTGGGCTGGGGAGAGAAGTGCAACTGACATCCAGTGGGTAAGGCCAGGGATGATGCCTAACGTCCTATAATGCACGGCCAGCGCCACAACCAAGGATTCAAGACACTGGTAATGCCAAGGGTTGTGTGGATCCCTGGTTGAAGGTGAAGCCCACAACCACAGAGCTGCTCCGTGGGCTGAGTGACTTGCCCTACAGAACTCCAGGAGCTCAAAGGAGCCATCCTCATGCTTCTCTGCCAACGTTCACAAATGGGAGTTGGATTCCATTTAAGGTTGCTGGCTTTGCCCACCTGGAGGTTTTGCTTCTGCAGCCAATCTCCGTTCTTTTTGAGCCCACCAGACTGTCAGTTAAATGTTATACGGTGTCAAGAGAGTGGAGAGCCCTGGCTGAAGGTGACTCACTGGGAAATGACAGCCACCTCTGCAAAATCAATCATGAATTTAAAGAGCAAGCACTTAGGAGAACTCAGAGAGGAGATAGCAACCCCAGAGATGTCATCAAGTCACATACACCCTGGTGCATAAATGCCTCCATGAAACCAGGAAATGAGTTTGTTCATTCCTTTTTGCGTAATAATTCAGACACTTGATAAAGAAATTTCAGTTAAAAGTTATTGAAATAGAAGGTTTGATTCCTTAAAAGATAAAGTTAGTCTTAAAGACATCACTGACAGGGTATGATTCTTTCTACAACAGAATCAATTAATTGATAACTGATGGAAATTTCTCGAGGCAATCAAGACATATGCATCATTTCTTTACTTTTAAAATCAATGTATAGACACAGGTTTGTGTATGATAAATGTGGAATTAAGTCCATTCTTCAAAGAGAAAATCTGATACTTCCTGCTTAAGATCTATCAGAGTGTTTCTCTGTTTCAAGGTGATGGAGTGAATGTGTTGCTTTTCCTGTTCTTTCAAAAATTTCTCCCAAACAATGAAAACAAGATACAAAAATATAACCTCAATTTCTGGTAGAACTAGAAGAGATTTATATCTCTAAATAATGGTACATAAAGAACAGATGTCAAATGGAGGAACCCTGGAAAGTGCAAACCTCCAAGCAGCTACATGGAACCTCAGAAAAGCTTGAACCTGTGCTGAGGCAGCCTAGAAGTAGGGAAAGTTTGACTCATATGCAGATTGCCCAGGGACAGCCCAGACCACCCTTACCTGGCTGGAAAGTGCCCAGGCCTCTCCCCACTCACTAATTATTTAATGGAAATCACCCAGTTCTGCCCTTCTCATGGGTTAGTGTAGGTTTTCAAAGCATCTGAAAAAAAAAAAGCATACTCTCCAGGCTGGCGAATCTACCTGCACCCACCATGCTCCCTTTTTATTTGCTTTCCCTAACATTTAAGAAATCCCATTTACATCCACATGCTCTGCTTGGATTCTTCCACACCAGAACACAGGAACCCAGGTCTTCTGGAAACACCGTTTGCCATTAACATTTTAAGATGTCTTTAAAGATGAGGGGATGTGGGACAGGACAAACAGGGAATTGCTTCTCAATGTGTGTAAGAAAACAAATAGAGTCCCATATTCAGCTCCCCACTCCACAGAGAACATGAAGCTTTTCTGTAAAAATAAAACAAAGCACAGACTATGAATTTAGGAACCCAGGCACAGAGGAGGGCAGGCATGCTGTGTTAGATTTCAGTGGAGAGTGAGATAGGCCAGCTCCCTTCTTCCACCCAGCTAGGGAATAGGATGCAACCAGGCTTGCAACAGAAAAAAAGCAAATGCAGAATGTAATGGAGAACAGAAAAGAATTTCATAGAAACACAAATCAGTATCTCTAGAATGAAGATCTTGCTTACATGAAACAACAACAGGATACCCTAGAAAAGGAAAAAGCAATGAAGAAGGACGAGCTCTTGGAAATTAATGCAAAAGCTGAATTATTTAGAAAAAAATCAATAGAAAGGCTACACAGAACACTGAAAAAAATCTCACAAAAGTAATCAGAACACAAGGATAGACAATAGGAGAAAAATAAGAAAAGCAGAGGAAAAAAACAGAAAAAATTGGGGAGGAAAAAGAAAAACCATAATTTCCCAGATCTAAAAGGCTTGAATCTTTGAAACACTGTGAATGCAGCACAGAAAATAAACTAAGAAATGTCATTGTGAAACTTCAAAACATCAGAAACAGAGAAGATCCTGAAAGTGACCAAAGAGGAAGCAAAGTAATAAAACAAAAATGTAAAAACAAAGAGAGAGGAATTAGGATGTTATCAGGATTCTCAAGCACACCCTCAGTGAAGCCAGAACAACAGAGAGAAAGCAGACCTTCAAAATCCGAATTCTCCAAGGAATTTTCATCCTGGAATCTTATGCTCAGCACCTACTATGTGCTAGGCATTCTGAGAAGAGCCTAGCTTTGTGGTTTGAATAGAAAACAGTGGACCTCATAATCTCTGTGCTGTCATGAAGCCATCCCTCTGCACTGCATATCTTTCATCATCCTGAGCTGATCTATGCAGAAACATCTGGAAACAAATTAAAGAGTCATAACAGAGTGAATGTAACCATTTAGCAATTCTAAGATCACTGACTTACAGCTGCTA